TACAGATTTTGAAAGGAATCAGAACGACTTTGGCCCGTGTACCGACAGCGAAACTCATAAATGTCGTATATAAAGTTTAATCAGCACTTTTCGTGTTAAAGCTATGACCAAACGAGCCTCCATTGTCATCTTTCTCTCTACAGACCGCAAATATCAGCACAATATTCTGCAACGCCTGTGCATTATGCAAAGTAATGGGCAAGTGATCTTGTGTGTGGAGGTCGGTAACTAAAAATGGGTATTATCTTAGAAAAGGGAAAACCACTAGCAGGGTTCTGTATGGACACGAAACATTTAACGAAGTTTATCTACCTGGACATTCGTTTGTTAATTTGCCTATTTTACGACGCTTTATCAGCTGCAATGCGTAGAATTAACGGGTGTGCATAAATATGTAATTTCATTTCGGTCAATGTCAGCAGTAGGTTTCATATAAAACGGTAAAGAAGCAATGTTTTATTCCGTAACATATAAATATTTTCAAATAAAATTGCAAACGTCAGCGTGAAACATATTTTGCCAGGTCATGTTAATTTTTGTGCAATTTGTGGCTTATAAAAGTGTCAACCAATTTGCTGTACGTAGCGTCGAGTGGTTATCACTCCTGCTTCGTATTCGGAAGGTCCCTGTTTAAAATCTCAGCCCAAAGACGGGCTATCCTGAATGAATTTTTTCGTTGTCTTTCTCCGTCCCTCCAGGCAAACACCAAGTCGGTGTCTCAAATTAGGCCAAGACCACTTCCTTCTACATCCTTTTAAATGTGTTAATGAATCAATAGACGCTACATCATTGCTTCCCGATAACAGATGATTCACCAGAGCCCTTGTCTGCAATAAGAAGTGTTCCTAACACTTAAAAGCGTCGTTATATGCATCAACAAATACAATCCATCAATACGAAATTTAATCGAATTCCCTTATAAGTTCAGACAAACTACCCTTGTCTATCAAGACTGATGCCTTCTGGGTTGTACAGCTGTGTAGTCTGGCAGAAGTTTAGAAGTTTTAGAAGCCCTTGCTGCCTCCAGTATCACGGCGCTACAGCCGAGAAGACAAGCCATTTTCGTACGCAACACCGTGAGAAAATCAAATCCTATCCTTTATCATCTCACAGGAAATGTTCGACTCAGTTTGTCGTCCATTTATTCAAGTTACAACATTTAGGGACACCCGGTTAAGAACTCTACTAGAGTAAAGACGAAACAGAGAGCCGTGATTATCGTTGCATTTCTCTTGTAGAATAAGTCACTTTGCTGGGACAATAAATTTGACGGTGAGGTTTATAATCCCCTTAAATAAACTGTCGTTAACTTAAGAGTGTTTCTTATTTTAATGTGCACGTTAATAAGAACAAGATAGCTAATTATACATTAAGAAGTCCTTTTTCCAGGCTTTCGAGCTCATTAGACTGGTTTCTGCGTACGACATATATTACAGGACAAACAGAGTTATAACTCATAGCTTCTCAGAGGCTGACACCAGAAGATGTCCTGTTAACCTTGAGAGAGTTAACGTCGGCCGCAAGAGACTTCTTGTTACTTGGTTATAGTTCAGGTAAAAGAAAAACACTTGAACCAACAAATTCCACGAATCTTATTCCGTATGTTTTCATGTCGCTTGGTAAAACTTCCAATTAATTTGGCGCGACTGCTTTGAACTAGGGATGGCAGTAAACGTGTTTATGCCAGTGTTCTTTTGCTACAAGGCTAATAGAAACAACTGCTATAATGACTATGAGTCAAGAGTCTGGAAAGATTACTGATTAAGTCCTTATAATATTTAACCCTTTGAAATCTAAATAATATTAAAGAATTCAGTCCGTACTTCAAAGAAAACAACACATCTCCTTTACAAAGTACAATTTGTTACTTCTGTTTAAGAAACTTTTGCATGGAAAATCATATAAGACCCACAAACATTAAACGTACAGTTACTGTTCAGGTGGCACGTGTATTTCTCAAGGGTCTTCAAAAGGGTTAACGACGCTATTTTGACCGTGGGATTTAATAGCGAGTAAAACTGTGAATAAATGAGAATTTGGAAAGAAGCGAATGAGGCCTACTTCAAGATACTGCCCTGCAATTTGCCTGGAAAATGACGGCAATTAAAGAACCAGGATATCCCGTAAAGAATTCGAGAGGGGTACCTCCAGGATAATCTCTATATAACGTCAGGGCTAAACTAACCTGGTCTGTGAAGTCTGTCACGTATGTGGATAGCGTTAAAGACCGACGTTAATTAATTACTCTGACAATCGCCGCCTGCAGGAACTGTGAAGTGTGAGTGAGTGTGTGTGTGTCAAATTTACACTATTGGAGCCTAGCCTAATTTTAATAATCCATTCTATTCTATTTCTGTAAACATGACTGGAAAGGTACAATCTTTTCAGTACACTGAAATTCCAAAGTCCATTGTTGAGAAACTGTACGTCCCAACAATATATTATCTTTCCATCGCTGCGTAATAAAACTCCCAGCCATGCAGAATGACTACCACACATGGAAAGTGTGGGTCTCAGTCAGATTAGTGGAAAATCTGGTGGTTGTTCGGCTCAAATTTCCAGACGCCCTTCCCATTAGCATGAAAATTATTCAGATTCCATCAGAAGTAAACTGATTCCAAAAGACAACTAGACTGCGTAATATTTTAAAACACAGTTTTCTAAAAAAAATACACAAGGTGCAGTTACAGCTAAGTTAACAAACTCGATAATAGAGAGAAGCTGATATTTGCTCAGCTGGTCAGGAAACTGATCTCTTTTCATGAAACCCAAAGGTTTATTATCATGTTCACAAGAGCACACCACTGGGCCATATCCTGAGCCAGTTGAATCCAGACCACATCCTTATTTCCTGATGGCCCATTTACGCGTGGGTTTCCAAAGCATAAGTTTCATCGAGATGCGTTACGATGTCGTATAATCGTGCGTTAAACAAGGATAATAAATACTTACATAAAACACTTTTATGCCCTCTTCCCGTTCTGTTTACGATAACACTAAATATCAGCGAGTGAGTACACAGGCTTCATGGTTTTTGTTTGTTTAACAAAACTCTAGATACGGTGTCTGTACAGAAAGTGAAGAAATATTACTTTAATGCACCCGATGGCGACCGATTAGGATCCCTTCCGGAGGATGGGAAATCTCTTATATGCATCTAACAGTGCAGTAAGTGTAGAAAACTGATACGAGACGTTTTACTCAAGTGCGGAAAACAAAAGACAAACTAATGTGCCCAAAGGCATGGAAGGGAAAGCTATTTAGATTAATGGATGATCAGAAGTGGCTGACACGGGGAGAACACGGGAACAAGTTCTCTCGGACGGGGCAGAGGTGAAAATGGGGTGGATTCTACAAGCACAACATTTTATCACGTTTTATTCTCAAACCAAAACAGGGTGTGTAAGACGTAAGGGACTTCACAAGGTTCGAACATGCAACTTCCTCCATTAACACGCTCGCGGGCGAATGGAACCCTGCATAAAGACCTATAATATAACAGAAAACAATGTCGACCCGTTAAGGACCCGTAATAATAAATGTCAACTCTTTCGTAATAGAATCCGATGTTTCATTACCGCTGATATTCGGGTCCACTGTGCGTCACGACTCCGAACCAGTTCCATGCAGCCCAAACCTTCACAGCCACGCTCGGTTTGATATCTCAGTGCCTTAGGACCTCGTCATCTCTTTAGTCGTCCCCGGTTTCTCAGTCCAAGTGACTTGTAATCTGTTAGTAGTTTGAAAAGTCTGTCTCTTTGCATTCTGCCAACACTTTACATCCAACTGATTTTATATTATAAATTCTGTATGAAGCAGGTTTTGTTTTAGTTATTTTAATACGTAATGGTTTCCTTCCAGTACATCACAATGTATTTTGGCGATTCTCTCGTGAATTTCTTTCCTGCTGCTGCACCTGAAGTTTTGTCTTCTACTTTCATTGTCAACTTCAGTCTTATTACCATGAGAACAACAATAATGGTTCAGGATATTGCACCGTAATTAATCATGAAAATATTAAAACCTTGCATACCGTGCAGTGTATTGGAATATAAAATCATGCATACAAACAAAACGCGTTTGGCAATAGTGTCCTTTCTAGTGTAAACAGTTTTGTTTGTATGCATGATTTTATATCATGAAAATATGTTTACACTTGCAAATAAATCTATCAATTATGCTGAATCAGTGCGAATAATGTTCGGCGAAACTACAAGTATTTAAAAAGATTTGAATTACTATTTTTCCCCTTTTAAGGAAAGAATATACTTGGCGGTTGTCTGAGAAGAATATTCTGACAAAAAGAAAAATAAATTAACGAGGACGAGAGAACAGCAAAACGGAACATCATAATTTGCATTCTTCGCTAAATGCCATCAGAGGGACCAAATAAATGATAAAAATACGAACAGGACATGTTGCACGCATGGTAGAGACGAGAAATGCATACAGATTTTTAGTCGAAAAACCTGAAGGGATTAAACTAGTTGAGAACTCTAGGGCACGAAGAGTGGGATACTATTTAAATGGATATTCAAGAAACAGGGTGTGGGCTGGATTCATCTGCCTCAATACACGATCCATGTACAAACTCACGTTCCACAAAAACCGAAGAATTTCTTGACTGAGAGAATGCCAGCTTGTCATAAAGAACTCTCCTGCATGGAGTAAGAATATTCTCGCGGTTACCTCAGAACACCCTCGAATAAAAATAATTTCTCTCCCTTGCCTAAGTAGCCAAGTCTGCTCGTACTTGTTCGGAGTTAACATGAAGGAAACGCGTTCCTCGCTGAACCTCGGCACAGACTCATTATAGAGCTGGGCTTCAAGACGTCACTCATCAGACTCACATGTGGGTGCTGGGGCCGGTTAATAAGCGCGATGCTAATTAGAAGAGTGGGTACAATCTAGTGCTCTGCTCTGGCGAGAAGTCACCAAAAACGAATTATTATGCATCTCCAAGAAACACCGAGACAGTAGACAGTATTGTCCCTACTTACCTTTGAAGTTGTCACCGGGGCCTCTGGTCATTGGAACACAGCTGATGTTTTCTTCACCGACTCTGAAATGGAACATTGCTTAGTGTCAGCTTATTAACCAGTCAAAACATTCCGCTTTCAAGGTGGAATTGACGATTCTTTCCAAATGACTCGATATTGCAAATAAAAAATTACCACCAACTGAAAATTCAATATTCATATGGAATACTGAAAGCACGTCTGTCAGTATATTTTACAGCCTTTTATAGTGGTAAACTAATGAGTCACTCATGTTCAACGCGCCAGTGGCCGCACTACTTACACTAATTGCAGGCCACCTTGCGCAGTACTCAGAACCATCCGCATGATGAACCGGAATATCGGACAGATTATCTTTATTTCAATTGGAGTACACTTTATAAATCACATTTCAGTTTGGGACAATAAACTAGGCCAGGGATTTCCAACAGTAAGCTCACGGGAACATCGGTGCCCTCAGAAGAGTTTTTCTTCGGTGATCACAAAAATTTTTGAACATTCATACGGAGCTTTAAATGCCTGACGTTTAATTTCCCGCTTATTTGTCACACTATCGCGATAATTCCTCGAGAGCTAGATAGCGTAGCAAATGCGAGAACACGATAATCTAATCATTTCAATTCGCATATTTTTTTCCCTTTAGATTCATACAGTACCCGTTATAATCTCGTCCCAGTGTCCACTCACCCAAGAAAGTTTGGCGATCCCTGAACTTCCGATATCATGATCTCATAACCACTGGTGTGTTCCTGCTACGTAAAACCAGGTCACCTACTCGAAAAATGTTCTGGGATATAATTTACAGTTCTTTGATAAACATATATACTACATATAACTCTTGCAATTAACATACAAATTAAAACCAGATTACCTAAAACAAATTCAAGTTAATGATGAAACTTTCTATCGGGGTACCGCGTGGGAAGTTCTGGTACCATTTCTGTAAAGAGAAACACCAATATCTACAGCACATCTGGTTCACAACACCAACAGCATCTCCGACGGCTTATGAGTGAGTAATGGTTTGAAGACGTGGAGTCGTGGCATATTTCAAAACCCACTATCGGCATTGTCCTGGGCTACGAAAAATGAGAAATATCAGTTAAGAAAATCGGCAGTCCGGCTGAGATGCAAACCCCGTACCTCCAGTCGACAAGTCTAAACCTAGAGAAACTAAAAAGAAAATTGAACAGACCGAGATCGAACCCCAGAACTGCTAACATGCAACTGCTGGAAAGCTAGCATGTCATGCTCACTTAAGTAAGGAACGTTGTAAAGTTTGTAAGGTAGTATCATAAACGGGATTCGAAAAAAAATGTTTAGTTGTAAACGGTAAATAACATCAACAACTTCAGGGCCTGACTGGTATGAAGTCATACGACCACTTGGGCATCATTTATTTCAAATGAATGACCTCTAACTTCCATTTTAATGCGCATCTCAACCTAGAACTGCGCAACTCTTCACGAAATAATTCGAAACTTTCAGGGCTTGAAATAATTACGTGTGCCTTACTAGCGGATACCACTAACTGCGTGGTGCTTTGGACCAGACAGGGCGTAATAGGATCAAAATACCGCACAATAAGGATATTAATTATAACTCAAATGCAATTCATCAAACAAAAGCAGGGCTACCAATTAACGGATGAGACTGGTGGTATATGTAGCACGCATGGGGGAGACGATAAATACACCTATTTTCATTGGAACGCCTAAAGAGAAGAGACCAATTGCAAGATTTAGAAGTGAATGGATGGAAAACGTTAAAATGAATCTTAAGGAAATAAGGTGGGAGTCTGTGAACTGAATTTATCTGGACTACTGGAGGGCTTTTGTGAAGAAGGTAATAAAGTTTCGATTTCAGTTATCTGCGGAGAATTCTCGGACTACATGGTCGACTATTAGTTTGTCAATAAGGACTCTGCCTCGTGGAGTTAGCTAGTTAGTACGCTAATTTCTAAGCGTGAAGTACAGTCAGAATGATGACGTTCTCGCCGTCGAGGGGAAGTGTGAGGGACTGCGGACGGGGTAGACTACTGTCAGCTGTGCTGAATGTGTGCAGAAAGGATTTAGACTAAACTCACTGCGCGTACAAAAAATTCCAATATATTTACGGCGGAGAACAACACCGCTGAGAAAAGTTCAAAACTACATCTCGAATATCTGCAGCGACAGCTCAACAACCGACAGAAAAGCTGTTAACTGTGCATAGGGTATAGGTAATGTGGCTGTCTCGTCTGAGGGGGCACGGAGAGGAGGGGTAAGGGGGGTTGAGTAAGGGTAGAGCGAACGAGGGGGGATCCAGGGAGGGGCGGGTAGGGTTCAAGTCAAGGGGAATGAGTCACGAGAAACGTTAATGAAATTAAATGAAATCTTTCCTCTCTTCTCTCGTTTTAATTAGCCCCCCTTCCACCCCTCACTCTGCCTTTCCAGCACCGGAATGGGACAAGGGTTAGGTTTCATGACGTCCACCATCTGGTTCAAGTACCACGTTGGGCAAAATACAGGCCGCGAAGGAATTCAATATGGTGCTCGCCTCGTTTTACTTTCTCATACGCATTATAACTAGCTACGTGTAACAGTCTACTCCTTGAGAAACAAACAGTCACCGCCCTGATGATAGAGGCAGTAACCACCTCTGAAGCGTCGGTCATTTTGTACCAGACTGCACGGCGCAAAACCCCAAAAGGCTGGAATCTCAAACAAACAGTCGCTCAGGTTGCTAATGTCTGGCTATTTAACGACGTTTTTCAAACAGATTTTATGTACGGTGTAACATGTGGATGGCTGGGAATGATAAATAAGAAAAGGTATGGACAGAAGTGGTGTTATACATTTATTTATTTATAAATCTATAGTTTATTTAACGACGCTTTTTCAATACTTCAGACTATATATCGTCGGGAAGTGGTGTTGGGTCATTGTACGGTATAGTCCCAATATATTCCTGGAGGGAATGGGGAAAATCAAATAGATATTTGTAACGGCAGAATAGTATTTAACGTAAATGCAAAATGTAAGGGAACAACACATTCAGGTGACTTTTCATTTGAACGTGTCCTGATTTTTGCACCAACCTGCATATTGCACCGCCTGATAGGAAAACTGTAGTCTAACACTCGGTTCCGAGCCGATTTGAAGCCCGAAACCGAAGCCTGCGCGTGGACACACACGAGCATCATGTTAACGGTAAATAAAAGCGAATTCCAACCCCGCCACTTTGCAGTCTCTCAAACTTCGGCAATACACGCCCACGGACCTAAGTACGTAGTCATGTAACCGTCTTCAAATGTACAGGAGACAATCCTGGGTGGATAATTTGTTCAGGAAGACAGGGTGGACTCGTAGTGCTTACTTTGGTTTGTCGTGTTCAACTCAGAAGATTTGATTTTGTCTGTCAGGTAAAGGGGTCCCAGCCGCCGTGGGCATTAGGAAAATATCTGGGACAACGTTTAAGCTTGCAGCAACGTATTGCAGGATTTCTAAAACTGCATAGCTCGCATAGAATATCTAGCCAGATTTTAATTTTCTTCACTCTTTAACCTATTCATAAACATCATACTTTCTCCCATTGGTTTCCGTTTAATCACTCCTTCCTCATTCTTATCATCCTTTCTTGTCTTCTTTTACCTTCTCCTCCTAGTAACTTGATTCATCATTGTATCATTTTCCTTATTAATCTTCTTTCCCTGTCTTTCTTCTCATCCTCTTCCCTTCCTTGTGCTTCTTCTCCCTTCTCCTCTTCGAAACCCTAAAATCCCAAAATTTCTTCTTATTCTCCTTCTCCTGTTGCTCTCATCCCCACCTTAATGTTCTTCCTCCCGTCCTCTCTTCTTCTCCTCCTCTTCTCTGCATATTGCTTCTTCTACTGTCATCCAAAGACAGTTTTTCTGTCTTGTCCAGTTTTCAACCCATCAACCTTCAGGGCTGAAGACGAAATGTTGAGGGAGATGTGAGGGAGGTGACGGGAATTGTAATAAGCGCAAAACAATCTAGAACACGGAACTTGCTTGTCAACGCTCGTCCTCGTATTGTGGGCGTTCTTAAATTAAACCATAAGCTCTGTGCAGAAACCTGCGTCGGATATGTGTGTTAATACTGTGGATATATATAAATGTTAAGTGCGCATACGCAATTACCGAAGTCCTTATTACTAACTTTTCAAGAACTTCGAACTAAAGCGACGTGCAGCTGCAACCATCCTTCAACACGCAGCCGACGGTCTTCCCCCACCCACGCACTAGCTTACAAGCCAAAACCATTTTACAGCTCTAAATGCTGCCTCTAAAATATAACCACTTCACCCTGGAATGCTAACGAGAAAGGATCATATAACTTGACGACCGGCTTTCACAAAAATCGGTTGAGACAACCGCGAGTACTCACACAAGGAATCTTGCCAGAACCGCAATTTGTTCTTACATTTCGCAGTTTTCTGTCCTTTCAGATGAATATATTCTACACCACTGAGAAAAGGGTAAAAGTAGGTCAATACAGCACTTTCTAACCTCAGCCTCCTCCAAATCATCTGCCACATCTCCACACACATACTCTAGAAGTAGGTTAAAAATTTGGGACTCCGCCTTTTGTATACTGACGGACCACCCTGGAGTCTTTCAGTCGCTGTTTAATGTCTTCCTTTCTCGTATATCTTCCGTAAATTAAGACTTCAAATTACAGAACGAAAAGGTGTCCTAACTCTGAAAGAATCCTAAAATTATTTTCACGTGACTATTAACAGCATTTAGGAAGAAAATGCGAAACACTCGCCCTTCAGCTGGTCAAGGTACTTCGCGCTTCTGTGGAAGCCAAATGTTCATTACAGTGATCACAAAACTCCTTATTAAACACCATTCTCATGCAGTTTAATCCAAGCCGTACATTAACATCATGCCAGAAATGCTTCACGCCACGCTCAACTCATCCTGATATTAAGCCGAAAGAATGTTTTAGTTGAAATAACAGTTTACTGCTGATTACAATAAAAACTGCAGACCTAATGTTAATTTCTGATCAGATAAAGAGCAGCAGTTTGGGTAACA